TGACATTTAGACTGTTAACACAATTACAAAAGCAAGATTTTTTAGTTTCAGGTCTGTCAGCCCTCATTTCACATCCTGTATTGTGGAAAGATGGGCCAGTTTCAACAGGCTTGGATTTCACATTTGGGAGAGACAAGAATTAGTCTTTCAGAGACTGTTAGAAAAGTCAGCCCTTAACCACCACAGTGATATGTCAGTTTCTGCTCACTGAAGGAGAAAAGAGAAAAGCAATATTGCCAAGTGCTTAAAAATCGTGAAGTTTACATTTTCTGCAGATGACATAAAAGAAATACCAATTTCTGTAGTTATGTATATTTAGCCTAAGTGACTTCACATCAGACGTGAAAAGTAAGAAAATTATTTTCTAACTATCAGGATTTTTTTTTTCCCTAGGACCTAAGGGTGACACAGTTCATTCCTCACATGCTGTTGCTACTAATCAAGCGGCAATCTCCAAGCAATGCTGATGGCTACCTGTGCAATCCCATTAAGCCATGACCATAGTCCCTGTTGAGGGGGAAGACTCCCCCATGTAAGTTTGCTTCTGACCCCTCCGGCTCCTGTTCCTCTCATGGCATTCATGGTTACACTGAATGACTCAGCCTTTGATTCAAAAGAACTTGGGTTTGCTCACTCTGCCTTTCTGGATTAAACAGGGTTTGCAATTGCTTAGTGACTACATTTCCTTTCTGCTGTTCAAATAACTTTGACATTTAGGAAATTAAAAATGATCTCTAGGTATAAGCATCTTACAGGTACGTATGAGTTTTGGCACTAGCACATGAATTTTCATTCTCTATCTAGGCTGTCATTCTGCCTTTAATGCTGGGAAAAAGGCACAAGAAACACAACAGTTGCTAGTTCAAGAAAAAAACTCCCCTGAAGGAAATGTTCTTCCTAATAACTGGTAATCAAAAATTCATGTCTGATGACTTATTTCCATGCTAAGTCTTGTCCCATGGTTTAAAAGTCTGGTTTTATTTCTTAGTAATGTAGTATTTGATGATGATGATGTTGTTGTTGATGAAATATTTGGTTCTTTTTGTATGCAGATATACTACTGGTCCTGATTATGTCATGGGGCCTTAGGTGGTCGTGGAAGAAACAGATTACGTTATTCAAGCCAGCAGCAGCAGCACATGCTCACCCCGCTATCCAGCCAACATTCCTCAACTCTGACCTGAGGACCACCTCTGGAGATAAGAGTCCCTTCTTATCAGTGAGTCCTCATTTTTTTTGCCAAGTCTGTTAGCAAAAACGACATTCAGAGCCAACAGTATAGATTTGGACAGCAGAGGCTTGTTCACCAGAAACTGTTCTGAGATCACTGGAATGATTTCATGTAGACCACCAGAAACTATGTATTGTAACAGACTCATTTCACCTAGGGCTTGAACCCTGAAGAACTGGCAGATTATCAATTCTGTAACTCATTTGTTTCCTCAAGACCTGGCACTTGTTTAACTGTTTCTATCAGAACAATATCATGAGTAGCATGCATACAAGGAACAGTGAAAATCAGTAGATGTTATTTCCACTTTAAAGATGGAAGCTGTCTCTACTGTACTCTTGACTGGGGTTGTCATGTTCTAAATTAAAAGTATTCTTCATGTGGCTAATTATTTGTCCAAATCACAAATACCTTTTAATACTCCTCCCTCTCCCCCCCAAATAGCTCATATTGATTTTCAGTTGTCAAAAACCACTACCATGTAATCAGAGGGGTGGCTGAGAGACAGATGTCTTAAAAACTTAGGTCCTGCAGACTTGCTCATATATTTTTCAGTAGCAACATACAACAGCAAATGACAAATTATCCTGACTAACTGCAGACAGCTCTTTCCGTAAAGTTCACAAAAGGATTAAAAATTAGTTGATAATTTCTCCATGAATCAGTTTGTACTTTCCAGTGATGTTTGCGACCATTTTCCCAGGATGACCTTAAAACATTTTATAATTTTATTTCATGTATCTGAGTATAAAACTGTGCTCATGCATCATTTAGCACTCTTCAGCTGAGAAGGTCGCTATTTTGGCAAGGCTGAGTGTTGATGTCTTTATGGATGGAAAATTTTGGTTTTACATTATATCAGTAACTCTACAAGATGTGATATTGGGATTTAGGGATCTAATCTGCAAAACAATGAATGGGATCCAACTCTGTTCTTGTTAAGCTTTGAAAGACTTTTTTTTTTGACTTTTGTGGCACACATGCAAGTTTTGTTTAGTTATTTGCTTGAAACTGAAAGGCTGAAGAACAGGAAAATCAGTGTTTTTTTCCTTGCTCCAACATATGTATTTATAAAAAATACAGATTCCTTGCCTATTTTATTTTTAAAATAGGAATGAAATAAGACTGAAATATTTTGAAATCTCTTGGATAGGATGTTATGGAATACTTATTTTTCCTGTTATGGAATATTTGTTCTCTTAAAGCCTTTATCTACAGTCTCACAACATAGAGAAAATAAATTCTTCCAATGTTAAATGTCTGGAGCAAAACTGACAATTTAATTTTTGCTATGAAAACCTGACATGTTTTTTTTTTTTTTTTACTTTGATTTGATTTGATTTTTTTCTCCATATAGATGCTGGTTGTTATGCAGCTTGAAAGTCACGTGAGAGCTTCAGGTTTGTACTTTTCTAAATGTGGTCTATCTATGTATTTTATTGAAGACGATCATCCTGACTTGCTTTGTAAATTGTCTTTCTTTTCTTCTGCATTAATCTATAAGTTATTATACAATAACAAGAGATTAGATGATCAAAAAAGTGGCCACTTTTCACCATCTGTTGGCCAAAATGCTGTGAGACCTACTTCCTATTTTTTAGATAGTATTACCACTGGCTCAAGGCAGGAGCTGGGCTGTAATGCTGTTGTGCTGTGGGGACAGGGAATTCCACAAAGTCTGAGGTCAGGCAGCTAGGCATTGTTCCTCTTAATGCCCCATGACACTTTGGATCCAAAAGCAATAAATCCTAATTTTTCCCCTCCTGGGAATTACAAATGATGTCTTAATTTACCAGCACTAAGAAAACTCTTTTTGTTATCTCTTTGTTTATAACAGCTTTCTTATTTCATAGCAGAAAAATCCAAAAACAAGTCCTAGAAATTTCAATTTAAAATCTTAGAACAAAGTGAGCTGGCCTGATTCTGTCCACGGTAGGCATCATCAAGTCTTTCTATCTTGAATACTTTCTGTTTCAAAAATGTTTTTCTCACAATATCTATTTTTAAATGTTGCTTGGTCTTTTGAAAGTGATAGGTATCTGTTTTTGAATAAGTTGATATGAACAGGGAAAGTCTCTGCTGCTGACTACAGTGTTAGCACTTATGTTGCTTTCAGGATTTATTCTCCTAACATTGGAGGTAAATAAAGAAATTTTCTCCTTCTACCTTTGAGGGAAGGCCAGACATGGAAGAGCAAAGCAGAGCCAAGCTTTGAAGTCAGCAGATCACCATTTATTCTGTGCTCAGGCCACTACATCCCTTATGTTTGCAGATACTGGTTCATTCAGCCCTCCAGAAATCTAATCGTTTTAGGATTTCCAGTGTCTAGCTTCACAGTAGCATTACTTGCCATGCAGAAGCCTGGCTATTTCAAGACAATTAAGAGATATGAAGAGAATTGGTGGAAGAGTGAATCAGGGGTCATAGTCTAGTTCACCACCCAGCCAACCAGTGCTCAGTCTGATAAATGAAAACAAAATACAAAGTTTAAGAGGAGTGAAAAAAAAATCTTAATAAATATTAGAGCTTGAATATGTCGGAGAACCAGGTTTTCTTGGCAACACTGAGCAGTAGTCATTTCTGAACAAACAAGATTGAAATTCGTGTTCCAGTGAAGCAGTTTGGGAAGCCTGTTTGCCATGCTACACAAAGACCATTTCCAATGCTCTCTGCCAGATGAATTTCTTCAGTGTGCTGGAGGTGGGCAGAAACGTGATACATTCATAAGAAGATGTGCCACAGATGCAAGGTCAGTCTGTTCCCCAGAAGAGACAGGCCATGCTCTGAAGGCATCACTTGTATTGACATACCAGGGGACATTTGGTTTTTAACCGCTTAGGTGCTGGCTCCACTATTCAGAGGCACTGAACTTCTACACCCATTCATGTCAGCAGGGTTTGAGTACGTTCAGCAGTTGTAAAAAATCAGGCCTGCAGGTGTGTGCTTTCTGCAGGTATGTTTTACAGGTGTCTGTAGTGCATGTACAGCAGTTTGTTCCTGTGTGAGCTAGAGAGCGCAGGTTTGTACAAGAGGCTGACCTTGGGAAGTGCCTCCTTAACCAGAAATACAGAAAACTACAAGCCAGTTAGTGCTTACTGAAGCCCTTTGCCACAAGGAGGTATTGCTAGTGGTACCTGTGAAATGGGAAAACAAGGCACAGGAAGCTGAATGTTCCCTCTGTAACCCCACACATGGTCCAGGAGACTGCAGTGCCTCTCAACTCATTTATGCTGCTGTACGTGGCTGGGGAGGAGCCTAGGCTCCCTTTTTAAAGCAAGATAGGGGGATATTCCCCCCAGTCCACCCTACAGCATCAGGTAGGGCTTGGGAACAGCAACCAGAGTGGCCCTGGACAAAGGGGCAGTGAGAGGAGCTGTGTTAGCCCATTCTGCATTTGCCATCCCAGGCAAATACCCCTCTTGAGCCCTAAAACCCTCTTCCCCAGTGCCAGCTCATGGGGGTTCCCACTCCTTCTGCACCCTTCACCTCCATGCAGCTCTACCTGTCCCTCAGCTGCCAGGGAAAGAAAATAGTAGGTGTTAATTAATGCTTCTGTCCCTGCCTGTGTTCTTGCAACATCCATTCTCCTCGTGTGGCTTTTGGGTTTAAGATTGGGCACCTGGGCAAGAGCTGAGTGCTGTCTCCTTTTCACCTTTCAGGCCCTCTCACTGCACTCCCACGTTAAGAGGTTTGTTTGCTTTAAGAAAGCGTTTGCCGTCATTGAGAAGGAATGTATAAAATCTGGTGTCAATAAGCTTAATTGGTGTGAAGGCTTGATTGGGCTTGGGGGAGAGGTGTAGATATTGCCTCCTGCTGAACTCTCTAAAGAGTCCTGGTGGCTTGGCCTTGCTGGAGAGAGCTCTTGAGTAGGAGCTTAAGGTGTGTGAGTAAAATCCTCAGACGAAAGGAAAAATGCAATTAATGGTGGGTTTTTAACGTAGCTGGTGGTAGTCAGCTCTGATGCAAAGACTGGAAATAATGCTGAAGTGCACAGAGATGTCGAGGAAGTAGATCTGGTGGATTGGGGAGGAGAAGCTTGTATGGTGGAAGAGGGGAGGTTTTCTGAATCTGGGATAATCTGAGATTCCTAGGGAGAGGTTTTCTAGCTAAACCAGAGAGTCTTGGTTCCTGCTGGTGTGGTTCAACCTTCCTGGGAAGACACTTCAATGTGCATTTGATTAAGAAGAAAACAGGCAAAACAAGTGGAAAATAACAGTACATCTCCAAAGAAAATTCCAGTAGGCAGGATCTGTTATTTGGCATCAGCTGGGAAGTGTAGGCTAAGTAATCTGCCTTTTAGAGGTTAGCAAAGGGGGTACAAGTGTGCACTTCAGGGTAAAAGAAATTAAGGGGTAGCACAGCTGCTAAAAAATTAAAGATGATGTATTTGCCTCGATAAATGCAGCATGTTTGCCAGAACTCGGCAGTTGGATTAAACTCAAAGCATATGTTCTCTGACTTCAGGATTATCCCACACTGGGCTGCATCCATCAGTTCTGCTCTCTCCTTAGCAAAACAGCTGAAGCACCAGAATTGCCTATCTGCAGTCCAGCCATCCTTGCACCTCCTCCAGTTCAGTCCTTAAGCTTCCTTTTTCTTCTTTTATCCTGTACATTCCCTAAATAGGTTCTTCCCAGGTTTTAGGTTTTCTTTCTTTTTCTTTCTAATGTCTTTATTTTTAATGTATTTTCCTTATTATTTTCCCTCTGAGAAATGACTGTCATATGTTCAGTGTATTTTCAGATGAAGTACTTCTATGTTCTCTCCTTTACTTCCTTCATGTTTTGGAGAGGTTCATCAAAAGCACCCCAAAATAAATCGGATTTTCTGATTTTTCTTTTTTAACTTGCACAAAAATTGACAACAATAGGCTTCTGATTTCCTCGTATTACTTAGCTTTTATACTGATCAATAACTTATCAGTGTTTCCTTGCTTATTTCAATCTTGTTTACATTGTAAGCTCTTTATATCAGGCACAGTTGTTTTATTACAATCACTTAAACACTAGGACAGTTAAATCTTGGTTTGTATTCAAGGTGAATCCTGAACTATTGATAAGAGAATAATTTAGCACAGAGGCATTCATCTCCCCATATAGGGTATTTGTTACAATTGGTATTTTGGTCAGAGTTTGGATGAATTCCTAAAAATAAGTTGATGATTTTCTCATCCAACGTATAATGACTGACAGGTTGTCCACTGATTTCTTTAATTGGCATGAAAATCTGGGGTGGCTGGGAGTCCAGATCCTGTCTTTTTGGCTTTGTGTGTGCTGTCCTACTGATTAACTGTTTAACGAAGTAGGTGGGCAGAGCGTTCTGCTTGTGTCTTCCTGCATCCTCGTCCAGTTCTTTGCTAAATCTCTTCAAAAGTGAGTTGGAAATATTTGGGTGAAGGTTTTTTATTTTCAGTATGTTCGCTTTGTTATGAAAACGTAAGGACATTACAGAATTAGATGAGTTTGAGATATTTTACTAGATTTAAAATAGAGTGGAGAGAAAAAAATAAATAAAGCCCATGATCATTCTTGCTGTTTGCAAAATGAGACTCTTCTAGAAAGTAATACTAATTGAGCTAAGGCAATTCAAAAGGATGTTCTGTTTACATTTAAATATTTATGCCTTTTTTTTGTTTGAGTCCATTTCAATTATGAAAATTTGAGACTTTGAATTTTCATTTTGATTAGAAAAATGTCACTTTGTAATTTAGTAGAACCATGTCTTGGAAATTGTATTAAACAGAGCTGGGAACACAAGAGTTGCTGTGGTTATATGAATATACAATAAATACAGAAGTTTACTCCCTCCAGTGAAATAATCTGTGGCACTTTCTTCTCTGTTGTTGTCTTCTGTTTTAACATTCTCAGACTGATTTGTCTCATTTGTCTTGGCATTTCTTCTCAAAATCTGCTTTACCAAAACTGTCCCCCATTCCAAGCAGGCCTCTGTGTCTCTTCGCCTTGGAGAATGCTCTTTGCACAATGTACCTACTTTAAAAATTGCTGGTATTTTTGCTGTCAGTTTCAGTATAGTAGATTATTATTTCTCAGAGCCATCCTAAACAAAAATTTAAGGAAACTGCAGCGTAACTGGGAGCTGTTTCCACACTATCACCCTGAGGCTGCTGTGCCGGGCAGTGTCTGACTACAGCCCTAGCTGCATGTGGAAGGCACCGTGTTTGAAGCCGCCCTCCCTCCCGTCACATTTATCACTTCTGGTCCAGCAGAGGCCCCACATCCAAGGGTTGGGGGGATGAGGGATGGGGAATAAACGCACAACTAAGAATTAATAATTAATTGGATGGATCAAAAAATAATAAGAATTGTTCTTAAAGACTTCTCAAGTACAATTGCAGTGTTTAGGCTGCCCTTCTCTCTGAGTAACTGTCACACCGTTAGACTAATTAGTTGGGTAGATTAATGCCATCTGAGCCTCTCCTGAACACAGATACTTCGGGAAACAATCCTGGTATGTGTCTAGCATCTCCAGGAGGGTGGGCTGCCATGCTGAAGTTTCAGATTGCCTGCTGCTAACTCCAGACTTCAAAACCCAAATGATCCAGCTCCCTGTATTGCTTGGTAGGTGGGTTAGGGTGGGATCCAGAATCGAGCACTGAGTTTGACAGCAGTGTTAAGAACCGTGAAGTTAAACTGAAGGGGAAGTAGGAGGGGGATTAGAAACCCACAGACAAAATGGAAGAGCACTTCAGCAGCAAAACTGGAAGTATTGGCCAGGTGAAGAACTACCAGAAGACTTGTTGCCTAACTGCACCAGCAAGGTGGCCAAGCATTCAATCAGATGCATCCTGCAGCATACGTTTTTTTCGTGGGTATAAATTATAGCTAACTGGCCACAGGGTTTGGGAGCTGAGTTCCCCAGGGACTGATTGCCAGGGGAAGGGTGTGGACTGCTGGGATCTGTCTGCAGGAGGTGGAAAGAAACCAGAAAGCAGCAAAAAACTGGGAGGAGCAGTCATGAGCATAGTCCAGAAAGGGAATAGCAAAAGGGCTCCACGAGAAGCAGAGCAGAAAGCAGGACTGGAAATTGTGCATGATTAATCTACTTGCTGTTTTCTCATTGTGTTGTGGAAACTTGACTTTATAAACTGAATTGCACCAAAGGAATATCTGTTTTTTATTATCAATCTTGTTTCTACATGGAAACAAATCAGATCAAAGGTCATTTTTTTTATTATTACTCTTTTAAGTGCCATCATATTTTACTACCTCATTTGATATCTCTCATAACCATTTTCTTTTCTTCATTATAATGATTAATTCAGCCTCCTGGAATATTGCAGGGTTTTACATTACATATTTTGCCAAAAATTGTTACTGGATCAGAAAACCTTGACTGGCTAGTAAGAAGGAATACTAACTAGGAAGAATTCCCTTCTGGGTAAAGAGTGCCTCTAAACTAGAAAAAAAGGAAAATTTTGGGGGGATTTTGCTAAGTGTTTGTACTTAATGACTATTATAAGTCAGAATAATAAGAAGCACTTTGCAGTTCCTGCTTTGTGAATATGTTCTAAATGACAAAAAAAAAAAAAAAAAAAAAAAAGAAATTATTCTAAAGGTTATTTATGGTTTTTTTTTTTTTTTTTTTTTTTTTTTTTTTTTTTTTTTTTTTTTTTTTGCTAGGATAGGAAGCTTACAATGCCCAGTGTTATGGAGAAATTCACACAGATACGGGTTCTCTATTATTGTTATAGCCTGATATACTTCTGAGGTTTGCTGGACTGTCATTTCTAAAATTGCCTAGAGAAAGGAAAAGGCTTTCTCACTTCTGTCAGTTTTACATCTGTGTAATTACATGTTTCTCAGGGGATTTGCTCCTGTTTTTTTCCAGTCAGGAGAGAAGTCGTCTCATAATACGCAACAAATAAATTCCGCTTCCTTCTTTCAGATCTCCCAGTCAGATAGATGAAGAAAGATAATAGAAAAAAGCACTCAGACAAAAGAGTGAAAGTCATGGTCCGCCTTTTGGGAGAAAAGGAGAGTGGAGCTGCCCTGATTGGGGATGTAATAAGAGTTGTTTTGGGGGTGGGGGGTGGTAGGAGGTGGGCTGCTTGCTCTGCCAGATTTTGATTTAAATGTGACCACAATGGTGAGGCACCTGTTGAGAGCTGAAAGCTTTTCTAGAGATTTTGGTGCTAATTGTCACCTCGCAGCTGGAGGATTATGTGTAACCTGAGCATTTAGCACTGAAGTTCTTATAGCAGCCTTGACAACTATTGAAGGGAAAAGTTCCTCTTTTTTTTTTTTTTCCCCTGCAGTTCAGACCACAAAGTGATGTTTTATAAAGTTTGTCTTTAACTTCACCTTGCTGTGATGCCCTTTCAAGAAAGAGGATTACAGCCTGCAAGTAAAGCCACCATAAACACAAGAATGTTGTTTTCACCTCAAAAGTAACTGTAATTCTACTGAATGTTGCATTGTGTGCAGAACTGAGTAAAATCTCCCACTCTCTTGCAGTTGGCCCATGTGGGTTTCTTCTGTATTCTTAAAATACCTTCCATTATGTGAACATAGTAAATCTAAATTGATCCTCTGTTGCTTGCAATTGGTGAGCTAATAACAGACAGTAGAACAGATAACAATTCATTCAATGCCTGCTTAAGACTCCATTCACTTCACAGAGCCATAGTAGGATCAAATTCACATTGAATTTGATGTGAATTCATGTATTTTTTTCTTGTTGCAAGAAAACAGAATGCTAGTTTCACGGAGGGCTATGGTACCAGTCTTTTATCACACATCCGCAGACAGGCAATAGAAAGCATTGTTACTCATCGTATTTGGGTGACATACAAGTAGCTGCAAATCATGAAACTGGACTCCTGAAACCTAGTTCTCCTTCATTTACTCCTAACCAGAATTACCTGTGGAAGTTCTTCAAGGTTTACATTAATTTTCATGTATGAACTTTTTGTAATTCAGTGTAAGCTTAGGTTTCTTAATATACATTCTTAAAAAGAATGTTAAAGAGATAGGATTTAGTTGCATATACAAATCTAAGTTGCACTCCTAGCTTGAACACCCTGTTATCTTTTCCAAAAATAAGGTGGGCCAGTTTTTAGAGCATTAGCTAATATTGAATTCTCTCTTACCTAGGTTCAGATGTAGTAAAGAAGATGGAGTTTTCATGGTGAAGAACCCAATGTTGACTTTACAAATGTACTGATGGAGAACGTAGTTAAACCTGAGAATAATGAGGACCGAAGGAAAATCTACATCCTTCAGCTGTGACTTCTGCAAAGGTAAGATTGAAAACCCTCATGAGAAATGAAAAAGCGAAGAGCTTATCTGGAATATTTCAGTTAAAGAGACATAACTTATACAATGTATTGTCATATTTGCTTTTTTGGTTTGCTATTCAAAAGAGTGGGATTAATTACATGTTATTGTCACCCAGTAAGCTTTAAACAATTTCTTTGAAAGTGTGACTGTCTTACCTTACAGTTTGCTCTGCAATTTCCAGTGGATTACCTGCAGCTTTCTAAACAGGTAGCCATACTCTCGCTGTTCACATCAAGCAGAGTGTTATTTGCTGGGACAGTGATGAATCAAAACAAAATAATCATTTCAGTACGGTAATTATATCAACTTTTATTATGTTAGTTCAGCACGGTTGCAAGTATAGATCTGCTAAAAAGGCCAGGAAAAAGATACATACACATGCAATGTTTTTAAAAGGCACAGTCGCTTGCTTATGTTAAAAGCTGCTAATCAATAGGACTGGAAATACTTAGAACTTTTGTCTTTTTGAACAACTGACTCACTTTGGAAAATTAAAAAAAAAAAAAAGCGTGGTGAAAGGAAATCTTCTTGTTGAAGAAATGTAAAAGTAACATTTTTGGCAGGCCACTTTGGGTGACGTCATTCTACAGAATGTGCTAAAGTCTGTTATTTTACAGCAGGAACTGATTTCTCAAGGCAGGCAGAGTCTATGGGCACTTAGTGTTGCTCTCAACTTCAGCCAGCCAAGATCTGTGCTTTTTTACACCTCGTTTGATGGTAATAAACCATGCACACTTCCAAATATGGGACCCAGAGGCTTTTTTCACATATAATACATACATGTGCGTGCATGTGTGTTTGAAATCTTTTGTACACTATTCATTGTGTGGGTTTATCTCTTGGCTGAAGATGTGCTCATTGCTAGTGTTCAGTACTTGTTGCCTTCTGGAATGGATTCTGGCAGATAAGAACACTAAAAGTAGCATTGCATTTGGGAAGGCAGAGAGTACCTTATTTTTCCCCCATATTGCCAATTTCTTGTGAGGCGACAATTTCTTGCTGTTCCTCCCCAGACACTTGCTAATACTCAGTCAGTAGGATTATCAGAGTGGCTACAGTTCGGTATACATTTGTTTCTTCATGAGTGAGAATAGGTCTTAGCTCTAAACTACGTTACCTTGAGTGCAAACCTTCAGTAAATTGCAAAAAGCTTTTCCTGTATTTAAAGCATTAAGTAGTAAAAGGATTAGGCTCTGCTGAAATTATCCAAGAGGGAGCATGAATTAAGCACTCTTTGGAGGGCTTAAGGATTGTCCAGTCTAAGAACCACTAAATGTAGCTTACTTGTGTGCTAATGTAAGGGAGTATTTGTATTTGTTAGGTTTTATGTAACTGCTTTTACGCAACATCTGTTCTGCCCTGGTTATTTGGACCACTGAGCCTACTTGTGTAGTACAGGTACTTGAAAATAAAAACATGCAGAATACAACTAGTAGCAGAGAATTCTCAGGGCCTGATCCAAAGCTGGCAATCTGTTAAACTGTAGAAATCCCGTGGACTGCTAATGGAATAACATGTCACTTGGCATAAATTAGACTGGCATTATGATTACTGCATCTGGAAATAAATACACTAAATATGTTTCATGTCCATTCTTTTCCCATTGCATTTTATTTCTGGTGAGAAATACCACTGCAATAATCTGAGTTGAATTGTTGTTTCTAGATGTTTATTAAAATAATGTTTTATTACTTGAGACCCCCAAGGTCTTTCATCTTCTTATTTCTTGTGTACTAGCATGGGAGTACTGCTTTGGGACTTAGTGTTGCAGAGAATTTGGTACACTCACTAAGAAAAATCTGTTTGAATAATGGCTAGAATGGAAATCCACGAGAGCTGTTAAAGGTTTGTGATGTCTTATCTCTGTTAGATCAAATATATGCATTTTGCTACGTTCAGTGAGCACTTCTAGCTTTACAAGTTACATTATATAATGTTCTCTGTTTTTAAGATAAATTGGCCCTAATACTGGAAACAATATTTTGAAAGACTTGTTTGTAGGGAAATTGTACCAACTCTTTGCATGTGGAATCATGGAAGAATAGCAATTTCACAATAGGCAGACCTGGCTCAGCTGCCTATTACAAAGTTTGGCATTAAGTGGATAAGGAAGCTGGGTTTGGAACCTGAAGAGAATTAGGATGGAAAGGACAAGGCTATGGATCTCATACATCGTCAGGTTTTGGGGAAGCAGTCAATACCAATTGGGCAAGATGCTGATGGAAGTGATGAGGAAGCCTGGGGATGGATAATGAATTATCCAGACTATCGTCTTTTGTCATATTGATGAGCCTGGTACAGGGAACTAGAGAGAGAAGAAATTGGAATAGTTTTGAGGATACAGGAAAGAAGAGGTTTATCTATATCAAAGGAAAGGGTAAATATGAAGGTTTTCTGGGACCTAGTAACAATTAGCAGCATTTCAGAGCCCAGAATGAAACTTGGGGTTCCCTGACTTGCTGTTCCTCTGCTACCAGCAAATCCCTGCCAAGTTGTTGGGGAAGTGCATGTTAGCCCTTTTTGGTGTGGTGTGTTTCAGGGATTGCTTTGTACTGTTACCAGACATTACTCTTAGCTCATAGCAGAGGTCTGTATGGTACATCTAACAGCTGTAGCAGACAAGGAATCACCTCAGCATGAGATGCATCAGTGTTAGCATGATGCCAGGTGGTGGAGGATTTTTTTTCTTAATCATAAAGTTGAAAGCTAGACCTCTTAGAAGATTTAAAGTGCTAAACAAAAGTGTTTTGTTTTGTTTTTTTTTCATTGCCTGTATATGTGCGTGTACTTTGTGGAGGCAGTCTAGTCTGCCATTTCTTTCTGTGCCTGGTGCTTGCTTAAGTGCCCACAGTGGATCTACTTTGAGGAGACTGCAGGTATTAAAGAGCTGTTTTCTGTAGGATTCTTACATCACTCCTTGCCCCAATTGGTGTTGATGGATAGGGCTGATGGGCTGCAGGAAGAGGGTCGTCTCTTGGTAGCATAAATTAATGCTGTCCTGGAGAAAAAGATGGTGTGCTGACACCTACCATCAGGTCGGTGTTGTTAGGCGAGGCCTTGGGCTGTCAGAATTTGTGCTGTGGGGGCTTTCTGGGTGTGTGGCTTGAGGCTGTCATGTCTTCTGTATGGGTGTGAATAAAGGTGTTCAGGTGCAAGTAGAGTCAAAAGGTGGAAGCTATGTTTAGGTAATCTGAAAAACAATGTTGGTAATCTGCAGGTAATCTGAAAAATATATGAGGAGAAAAATAAATGAGGAGAGTGGTTATGGAGATTAGTTAGTGTTTATGGAGCATGCAGCTTCTGTAATGGTAAAAAGCATATAGGGATATTGATTTTTGTCTTGACAAAAGACTTCAAGTGGATTATAGTGGAGGATATCAATGGCAAGATTTGAACAGAGATAAAACCATCTGAATGGTTGTTTATCAGATTCCCTCATGAGCCCTGGACAAAGAATGGTTCTTACACAATAAAATAAAATTTGGCAATAATAAAAGTTTCAGGACTCATAAAATACAATGCAAAACTTTACCTAATTCTGTTTCAAAGTAGTTATCAATGCTCTTTATTGGTACTATTAACCATTTCATATTTGAAATCCTTGTCAGTTGGAGAAGGTCTAATTTCTGAAGAGAAAAGTCACTGCCAGGTGGGTGAGTGTCCAGTGTCATTATGGTATTCCTTGGCTACTATAAATCAAGGAGAAGTTTGGGTCTCATTTGGCGTTGTCCAAATACATACACTTTTAGATGTAATTAATCTTAGCAAGCCTGAATTAACAGAATCCCATTGTATTGTTTACATTATGACTAGACTTTCCAAATTAAAAAATAATAATAAATCCGTGTATATTTGAAATATAAAAGGCTTAGTACCTAATTGCAAAGCATAAGCTACAGCAGTAAATATAATGGAGGCTTCTGTAATTATTTCATTTATTTCTTTTTTGTATGTGTATGGTCATGTATGTGTACAGCTGTGTTTAGATGTTTAAATGCCTTCTTGAAATACACTCTGCCTTCTGCAAATTATTGAAGTAGCAGCTGCTGTCTGCCGTGCAAGCCAGGCATCGTGGGGTAGAGTAAAATTCTTCGTCTTTCTCCATGAGGCATAATTTTATTAGGCTCTACTTTAAATCATAAGGATGCCTGCTGAGTATGCTCTGCTGTTATGATTTTTGGGTTATTGCAGCACAGAGGTAGGATTTTTAATTTTAAAAGCAAAAAAAAAAAAAAGCTTTCCAAGTTCAACTGCATTGAGTTACTTATACATGTATGTGAGCAACTGGTAGTCAGAAGAGGTGCTAGCACCAATTTGCTGGAAGAGCCCAGTGATTGTTCTCTAACAAAGACCCAGTTAAACTCAGGAGTGTCCTAAGATAACCTCATGGATTTAGTAGGTTATTGTACAAAAAGCAGGAAAGCAAACACCCCTTACTCTAGTGGAAAAACTGGAATCCACTGCCCAAGGAAATGGGAATAGCGTGGAGATGTCTGAGCAGGATTACAGGATAAGGTAACTCACATATACCATGGGAAGGAAACATGCACAGGGTCTATTACCCTAGTGCAACTGTGGCAATGTAACTTACTCTCATTTTCCCTTGCAGCGGTGTGTCTCTGCTTTGTCGTGTTGTGTAACCCATGTTCTCCCCTCCTGTTATAGGACTAACTTGGTTCCCCAGATCTTCTTCATTTCAAGGGTCTTTTTATAATATTACATTGCAAGGTATTTCAGGGGCAGAGACCATATCTTATTTATTGCTTTTATGAGTCATTTAGCCCATTTTTGGATGCTTGACAGATAATAATGTGTCTGATTGCATCATGTGGTATACCAGGTCTGTAGGAAAACAGACTTTCAACTCTGTAATGAAGTCTTAAGTTTGATTTAGTGTTTACTCATTTGACAGCAGATGCTAGCCAGAATACAGATCATTTAAATTCTATGAACTGACTAA